AAGAAAACCTACCATCAAAGCTGATCTATCAGTGCCCTTGCTCAATAAGCATTGCTTCGCGTTATATACCAATAGCAGAATTTTACCTTGGTAACGTCCACATCAACTTTTGCCATTATCTCGAAAACAAGACTATCTGGAAAGTTATTCGAAACACTTTCCTTTATTAATTTCAAGAGTGACACGCATATATAAAAACAAAAGAGATGCATAAGATGTTTTATGTGCTAGTTTATTGGGTATTTCTCTAACTCTGAACTAATATTGAAAAGAACAAGTGAACAAATTTTGTTTTCAACGTTTGAAGGGTACAATGGGTTTGATCACATTTTAATCTAAAAGCCACATTTAAGTGATTATTTCAAAATTGAGAAAAAGAATTCTGCAAATTTATATCGAGGAATAGCGTTTAATACAAATTATGTCACGATGATTTATGTCATGTGATAATTATTCATGAAGCTGAGGATGTAAAACTGATTTATTTGGACAAATAAATGAGTAAACAAAGTAAAAATAATGACAACTATATTTCTAACTGTTGAAATACTTTCTTAGATTCTCAACAAATCGCTAAAAAGTCACCTCGAAATAACGCATTTACGAGTTAAAAATGGCTTTATCATCTGCGCATGTTGTCCTCAATTGACCTATTTTACATGCTGTACCACATTTTATGATTATATAAGTTCTATTTACCAAACGCTTCAGCGTGGTATTAAGAGTTTGTTTTCAGGGGTGGGTAATACCAAGGTGGGAAATGGATGCACATATGGGGTTAATTCCTTGAATCGCAATATAGAGGGTTCAGGCTGAAATACAATATATAGTGTTTTCATGTTTCGTCTGATATTTCTGTGGTATTCTGCTGCTGTAAGTAATGCACGATTTGTTCCGAAATTCAGTATATTGTGTGTATTCCAGGGTTATTCGTTTTTTGCTGAAAACACCCCTATTTTTTAGTGGCAGAGTCGAATAGTCTCACTCCTACTGGGAAATCTGCATTGTTGCTTGAATGTGAGCTAATTAAACACATTTTCCAGACCGGCAAAAGAGTATGCAACAGCCAATTTTAACAGCCTGTCACATGATTTTACTCTGAATGTCAACATGAAAAGAGGCTAGTCCATTTTCCGCAGGAGCAATTGGGAGTAGAATATGTGAGGGATAGTATCAACAGAGATGTGTATAGTGAAAAGTAATATCTATCCTTCATTTGCATCTCTGAGCATTTCTGTTTTAGTATATTGGTTTGAAAATGTTGAACTTGCATGATTTGCAATGTGTTTTTTTTACTGGGACTCCCCTATTGATCGAATCCCGGATTTGAACGAGAACGGCACACCACGTGATTCGTTTAAATACAATGCTGATGGCAAAACATGCCGTGTTACTGCGGTACTCCCACTGACGGGATGACTTACTAGTACTGCATGCTACAACTTCGTTTGTGATGTACACCTAATATGCCAAAAATGTTGCTGAACGATTTGAACTGAATAAAAAATAGCAGACGAAAATTTGTTTACAAAATACAAATACTTCGGTTGCCAATGAAAACCGGTAAAAAAACAAGCAATATGTTTTCGGCTGTTATCATGAACGTGAAGCTAACGTCTGTTT